ACTTTTTTTCTAAGTTAAGCAGTTTACGAATTATATGATAATTAAAAAGTGTTGATTTCTTGTCTTTCAGGATATTTCAGAAACCAAGTCGGGTACCTAAATTTTGAAAACGGTAATGAATAGGCATTCGAATTCTGCTCAATTTTGCCCATTTAACGGATTCGCTCTTCGGATCTTTAAAAATGTAGAAGTTACCCACACGAAGATTCAGAAAATGGCCACCCTGTAAATCGGTTTCAAAATTATTGTTTGCTCTCAACTGCGCTCTTTTCTTTAAAATGCCTCGTCTTCAAAACTGAGGTAAGTAGCTAGTTGAAATTTTTATCAGCTTTAGAAGACCTGCAAATTTTGATTTGTCCAGATTAATCAAAATCAGTCTGAAAATAAAGTTTGTACCCAACTGCACTTTACCTTTAAAAAGTTGCCTCTTGCAAACGACAGCAAATAGCAAACCTGATATTTTCGTAAATTTATAGTTAAGCGCTCTAAATATTGCTACCAACTTCCTAAATATTGGTCTCATAATGGAAGTTTTCATTTTCTGTAAAGGACACACACATCTTTAGAGGACACGTGTTTCTAATGACTATTAAAGTTTGGTAAAAATGGCTCTCAATCCTGATTCGTAAATTTATCCGTAATAATTAATTCGTCAACTGTCCGCTCACGTTTAAAAATTTAAATTTTTTTATTATTATATATACAGGGTTATTCACTCTATACGGCTCGGAAGTTTGCGGCTAAACCATTTGATTTTTACAAAGTATTATGTGATTAATCGGCAGACGCCTACCGGGCGCACATTTTAAAAATATTTCTTTAACGTTCAGGGTGTCCCAAAAGCCCTAAAAGTATCAAAGGTGTGTTTTGTTAAATGAAATACCATATATATTATTGCATTTTTGGATTCTCGGAGTAAAATAAGTGTTTATTTTAGTAAGGTTTTTAATACCTAAATCTTAAGGTTTGTTAAATAATCCGAATTTTATCAAAATCGAATCTAATTTTCATGTGTCAAAGGCTGTAGAATTATTTAAATTATGTAAGCGTAATTTGTAGTGAAGTGTTTTGTTATACAGGGTGTCCACAAATTTAAACTAAGCAAATAAGAACTTTAAGTGGCTATTACTTGATTAATTTAAATATAGCCCCATGTTTTTTTAAGTTACCAAGAAAATCAATTTTTAATTACCTATCGAATGGTAGGAAGTTAATAGCTAAGTCTTTGCGTTTTTACAAAATATGTCAAATAATCTTAGTAACGATGAGGACACAATTCACTTACCAATAACGATGACGACAACAATGAACTTAACTCGATTAAACAAAATGTTAGATGGCGAAAATCATAGCCCGATCATTGGAAAAAAGGCGTAAATACAAAGAAAGGGTCTTTAGGCGAACCTTATGAAATCGACAACTAAATGAGACTGCAAAAGTTCCTAAAAATATCGATTGCGACCGCTACAACTATATGTGAACATACAAATTTAGTTTTGAAGATAGAAGACAACTGTGTGCTGACTACTGGCAGATTATGCTATATAGAAAGTTAAAGCTAAATGTATAAAGCCTTGCACTACTGACACAATACCTTGAAGCCTAGCTAGCAGACCATAAAAAAAATATGACCAAGAAATTCGTGTCTGCAAAAAGTTTTTCTTAAACAATCTAAGCACAAGTCATAAATAAGCCTGTTGACTGTGCTTTGCAGGAGTAAACGAATATAACTTATTTGCCTTATCCGACCAACGAGGTTGTAAGATCCCAGAGAATCAATCACCACAGGAACTAGAAGGAAAAGTTAAAAATAATATTGAAAGTACTCGCATTACTGCAAGAAATCTAGCGACCGAGAATACTTAGACCCTTGCTAATCAATTACAAAAATGTATCTATACGTTGAATTATGTCACACGAAAAACGAAGCAAACGCGTCTGAAGCTACATATCGACGAATGTTCCACTTGTGAATTGTGAACAATATCAAAATAAACTTATGAGCGTAGAAGATTACAAAGAACGCTTATTACAGTATGAAATTATGCTCATTTAATTTGACTGTATGAAGCAGCGATACCAAATAATGCTTACGGCTATGCGTGGACGGAGAATAACGGCCAACATGGGAGWTYTGAAATTRGAACCGCATTATTTGAATACAAGGATGAAGACATTTTCAAAAGACGTAACTGAAATTTCCYTGTATTCAGACACTTGCAGAGGCCAAAACCGCAATCAGTACATTGCGGCTTTTTTTCTGTAATTTCTATAAAAGCAATGGCAAGTTYCTTCTTGAAGAACAGATTAAARGACTAGGATGGAAGCAAGGTATAGTGCATTAAAGTTTTGCGCTAAGAGAAGGAAAATCCAGGCCATTAATTAACATTAAATATAATTATGGCCAAATAGGATTTAAAAATATCAATGTTTTGTGCCGAGCACGAGAAAATACGATTCCAAAGGATATGCGGAAATTATGCAAAAACAGTTAGGCATTTCTGAGAGCAGTATTTTGAAGCTATGCACTTAAAATAATATTCCTCCAGAATACCATGCATCGTACCAAGCTCTGCCAGTTAACAAGAAAAAGAGAAATATCATTCCGGCACATACAGCAAGTGAAAGTGACACAGAATCAAACTTGGAATAATTTTTGGGTTTTTAAATAATTAGATTACTTGTTTATGGTTAATACAGTTTTTTTCGAATGAAAATTGTTTGTCTGATTTTCTCATCTTACATAAAAGAATAAGTAAAGGAATTTTAAGCTGCTGGTCTTTGTTAGTATCAATAATTAATAATTTAATTGTTTGACCAAGTATATAGTTATTGATTTTAAAAATCAGTGAAAAATGACCAAGTCAGTTTAAAAAAAACAGAACAACCCTTCTCATTAAAAGCAAATAGCCGCATTAATTAAAAGTGAATTAAAAAAGCAACTTTTTCAAAAATCCGATATAATTTTCAGCCCGGCTTAAAACTGCATTTGCAAAAAACTGATATCTTGGACTTAGCCAGTTTTAGCTTTAAGCTCACGATATACCATTAGCTAACGATACCAACTAACTCAGCTAAATTTCACTAAGATTTAACAAAGTTATCCAAAGAGATTTATAATATTAGTAATTTTTACTTATGGAAATTTACGTTTACTTTTTACTATTAAACTTTAGCCTTCATTTTCCTAACAGATAGGTATTTAGCTTTAAAAACAAGTATCACTTTCTATTACTCTGTTTACATCTTAAATAAGCGACTTTCAGTTTATTAGATATAAACTTGTTAATATATCTATTAATTATACATACGTAATACATTATACCCTCAATCGCAATATCAGAGACTTTAGATATATTATAATTATATCATAAACGTAGGGAGAGATAACATGCAACCAATGTTTATTGGTTTACAAATTTATAGTTTTTGATATCAATAAATGTATATTCAAACATTTGAAGCATTCAAACTTTTTCTGTCCTTTATGAATATTTTCCCATTGCATTTAAATAGTTCTTTAAAAAGTGGCAAAAGCTAAATATGCTAACACATATTGACCTTATACCAGTTTATATACGCATCGTTTTTCGCAGAATTTAGGTTAATCCCAATCAATCTTGCAGAAAATATGTATAGGTACTTGGCCGCTAATTCTCAGATTAACCGTTTTCGAGATTGCGACTACGAACAAGTAAAATATACATTACATCTTCGAAGCACACGCACAACACATTGAAGATTGAAGTGAATGATTTGAAAATAAATTAATACATTAAAAGTATAATAACTAACTCCAATATCTAGCATTTGAAAGCCAAAAACCTGTAAACTATTGTTTATATGATGAAAACTGAAAAACATTAAGCTGTGCAAGAACAATTAATATGTCTGCATTATACGCGCTTTAATGTTTGGACATCTTGTAATGAGAAGAAAAGAAACATAAAAGTTTCATCATAGTTAACAGACACTGGGAAATGCTTCAAAAGTACATAGAAAACTATTGGGAATAATTGAAATACGTGAGAAAACGAAATATGCGGCATTATCTCTAATGGAAACCTAATGTGAGGGATTATCTTGTTATCACATCCCAGATACCTCGTTATTGTTATCAATAACACTGAATAGCCAACAGCAAAGTTCAAAAAGACGAAATGATCATTGAATATTAGTAACGGAAGTCTAGTAACAATCGAGTAAGAAACCGTGAAAAAAAAACAGAGAACTGCACACTCAAATTGGTGAACTTAATATTTAATCGAAATCGGAATGAGGTAAACTTCAATGCAGTAATCAAAGTGAATATTTATAGTAATTTTTATGCGATTACATTAATATGTATATTTGAACTTTTATGAATATCAAATATGTATAACGCAATGTCAGAACTAGCGGATTTCTTAAATAAATTGTGTATAATAATAAAATATATATTGTAAAATCCGAGCTCAACAAACCGCGAAAAATAATTATCGAACCCACTTTTTTTAACCCATTTTTAAATACCAACCGTTCAAATGTTAACTTATTTTAAATACATAAAGGTTGGCAGGTATTCTACATACAAGGATATCTGAATATTTTCGCTTGCATATCTGCGATTCATATAAACATTATAATTCTGTAAAGGTGATTTTGCGTTTAATAATATATATATTTAAATAATATCTACCTTTGAGTATTAGCCAAAACTTTCAAAGTTTACTAACAACAGCCAGCATATTAAATAAACGAAGGAATAGTCAAAAGCAGCACAACAAATAAAAATGTAATTTATTGGTCTACGATTTTCGAAACGGCACTGCCACCGATGACGAACAAAATGAGGAAGTCACATCCAAACACCATAAACCGTTTAGGGTTTCTCGGATAAATTCCCATTATTACACACAAACCGGCCAGATAATAGTAAAAGTAATAATTTTTCTTCAAATAGTGAATGTACAGAGATGCGCTACCCGTACCGTATGGATGTTCCAGCAGGTGGGAGTTTTCACTATTTAAATACCCAGAGGACCATCTTCAAGTCATCATTTGATCAAAGTTAGTGTCTAGCCATCATGAAACCGTTTATGGTACGTAGTCAACCCTTTAACTTAGGTTAAATAGAAAAACTGATTTTGTGTGAAGCTCTTGTGGTGTGATTTTTGTTTGTTCCAAGTTTACGGTATTTATAATTATATTTGGTTTTCAAAAGTACTTTGTTTGAGCAGTATTTATAGAAGTTGCAATATTTTTCTCAATTTAGAATGTTGAGTATTTTTACCAATACAGTTATTTCAAGAGTAGGCACATATTGTGTTTCATAGATATTATTATTTAGACAATTTATTTTTTTTAATTGGTTGATTAGCCTCATTGAGCTTTATTAGCTGATCTATGAAACCTTTGTATTTTTATTCAGCATCCTTAATTTTTTTGCGACTTTTAAAGAATCAATTCAATAGAATTAAGCCATTGTTTTTGGACGTTGGATGGTCGTCTAAATTGGATATTTATTTTATTCAGATATATCATTAAAAGCCGCGAGTTTACAGGGCACTTTCAATTAAACATGCAACAGTTCAATGGAAATGACCTGATGTGCATTTTTATTGTCAAGTGGGAACTGATGCGTACATGCTGAATTAAAGAGAGAGTTGCTTTACATAAGATGTCGTGGGAAAAAAACGTGTTACTTTTATTTATCAAAAGTGCACCAAAGAAACCGTTGATACCTGGGAACATTGTTTGAAAATTTATCAGATTTTATCAATTTTTATACTTTCTCCATTCAGTTTTTTGAACAATATCGGTTTTGTGTTGAGGTGTTTCTCTTAACAAATTCGGGATTAAAATTAAAATTAAACTAAGTTGAATTTTAGGCAGGTTAGTGATACTTGAAGCTGCTTCTAAGAACTATTGCTATTACTAAAATAAAATTTACCTAAAACGGGATCCAGGGAAGGCGCAAAAAAGTAATATCATAAAATTTTGTTTTCAAAAGACTAGATGGGTCTTTTATCGAGGGTTTCTTAAAGTGTTTCTGATTACATGTACTGCATGACGTGATTTTTTGTTTCAACTAGCAGCTGCAGATTCAAACATTATCAAGCAACAAAGCCTTGCGTACACAGGCAAAGGCAAAACCTCACAGTTATTTTTTAAGATGTTAATGTACACATTATTTCAACCGTTTGTATTGATTCAATCGGTAGTGGTAAAAATATAATCTATTTTCCGGAACTTACGTACTTAATTATCACTTTATTCGTCTTGCCGAAATGTGCTAAGATTTTGGCACTACTAAAGAGCAGAAGTTTAACTTAACAATTGCCATAAATTTAAATCGTTGTTTATATTGTAGCAAATTTATTTAACCACTGATTATAATGGGCGTTTGTGAACCGATGATTTCTAATACAGGTACAAATGCAGTAAAAGCTTCCGTCCATTATTACTGCTCAAGTTTTAAACATAAAAGTCGACACAACTTAGTTGCAAAAGTGCCCCCTAAATGTTATTGTTTTTGCTGCCTTCTGTCTCATTTCGGTGTTTTTTTGTTCTATGTTTTACAGCTAATTGTCAATGGTATAATAATTGTGCTCATTTGATACCATTTCCATAGCTTGAGTTCTAATGTTTTAAGTTTGAAAGACAATTGAAGATCCGATTCTAGAAATTCAAAGTTTGAAAAGTCGGAAATAAATTGCACATTTAATTAATCAATTCAGAGTTCATAGCAAGCAATAAAGCCATGAGAATGAACAAAAAATACGTAATTGTTTAGTTGGAAAATGGAATGAAAAGAAGTAATACAAAGAAACAACTATGTGCCTTTCTTAAAACTGACAAAGCTTTCCATTCTAACTCATTTGCTCATCAAATTCTATGTCAATGAGCAAATCTACTGGCGCCTTTCATTTAGCCTGCAGTACCAAATCAATCATCAACTGCTACTGGAAGTGGGTACACTTCCTGATTGCAATGAAGGAAAAATAAACCATTAGGTCGGTAAATCACAGAGAACTTTCTATCAACCGAAAACCGCTAGACAAACGAATCGTGAATAGCGAAAACGAAAAGGTCGTCGCAGGGTACCTGAAGAGTAAAAGCTAAGGTCACGATCAAAAGGTGAAATTGAACATTGAAGTGAATCTGCAATGCGAATGAAAGTCCATACATAGAGATCGATTAGAAATTCAGCATAATTGCGATATAAGTATCGGTGCTCGAATGACACATAATAATAAAAATTTCCTTTGCAATTTCAGTTTGCACGGTTCAATATGCAAATCAGCAGATTAGCTGTTGAATGTTCAGTTTCTATAATTTCACTGCAAGACCAGGATGTATTTGCTAATTAATAAGTCATTTGGATTCAGGCTCTAAGCTAATAGTTTAATTATATTTGCTATTAAACATACTTTATTTCACGTAGTCACTAATTAGATACTATACGCCGCCGATCATCTCCGACATTTGAATAACTTAGTTAGTCATATAACTGAATTACACAGTTATTTTCGATCAGTCCTATAACCTCTAAAAAAAGCCCATTCCTAAAATAGCCCAAAAATACTTCCCAGATTAAGAAGAAAAAACGGGTCATTGTTCAATTTAGTTGTGCACTTTACGCAATGAGAAACGTTAAACAATCTCGCAAAGAATCGCACTCTTTACCCGATGACTTGATGTGAGCTTAGTTGATTTGGCAATCAATCTCACACTAGTAATTACTTTTCAGATTTATTTGAACAGCTTGTTGCATTGTTTTGAAATAAGTATGGAATCCCACAATTTCACAGATGACTTTCAAAACTAGTACACTTACAAAATTCAAGATTCACGCAAATGTTATTAAATGAAAAATACATAGGTTTAACCATTGTGTGAATCCCACAATTAGTGTGGGAAACTGGAATACATCAAAACAAATGTGTAGTCGTCAATTACATTATCATGGCTCCTAGTTCGGTTTAATGTAGCAAGGTGCGTTTCTAAATTACCGGATTTAATTTATTTTTATATTGTAACCTACTGTTACTTCTTAAGATCATCACATAAAGATAAAACACTTGCAATAATCTTTAAAGCGAATCTAGCAAATTACATACATCGAATTTTCAGCCGGATGTTGGGCAAATACATTGGCTAATAGTGATAGAAATCTCACTGGTTTACGTGTTTACATCCTTATGATGTTTAAAAAAATAATGTTCAAGTCTAAACTCCCTTGACTACTTATGCGACCCATACAGAAGTGCATTTTCAGAGATTTGGCTTTTCAAAGCTGACTATTAGCTCACTATTTGGCTTTCAATGATCCCTACTGACAATGATATCTAGTTGCACTGACGAAACGTTTCGAATAAAATTCAGTTCTCTTTTTGTAGTGCCTCCAAGTTCAGTTCTCTTCTTACTCAATTTAAAAATATTACAAAAGCTGTTGATTTTTACAATTTGCAAATGTTTCATCAACACCGATTCTAAAAGTACATAGACACTAGCAAAAGTTTGCATAATTCGTATTCTGTTTCAGCTGTTGTCAGCGCTAGTAGCGCTATCCAGCGCCCGTCCTGAAGCTGGTTATAGCTACAGTCCCCCGAGCACTTCTTATGGCGCACCTTCGGGTGGAGGCGGCGGCTTTGGTAGCTCTGGAGGCGGCGGATTCTCTGGAGGTACGTTTAATTTAAAAAATCTCTTTGTTGAACGAATAATAATTTTGTTTTCTTTTAGGTGGCGGATTTGGAGGCGGCGGCGGCGGTGGATTTGGAGGAGGCGGCGGCGGTGGATTTGGAGGAGGTGGTGGATTTGGAGGCGGATCAGGAGGCGGATTTGGCGGAGGTGAGTTTCGAGCATTTAAGGAAATTTAATTGCACAACAATGCGAGGAGTTAGAAAATTATCTGACAAAATCCTTTCAGGAGTCGGTGGAGGATTCGGAGGAGGCGGCGGCGGCGGCGGCGGCGGCGGAGGAGGAGGATTCGGAGGTGGATTCGGAGGTGGCGGCGGCACTACCATCCAGAAACACATTTACGTTCATGTACCCCCACCAGAGCCTGAAGAGTTCAGGCCCCAAAGACCCATCTCGGTCGGACAGGCTCAAAAGCACTACAAAATCATTTTCATTAAGGTGAGTCACTATTTGAAATAACTTGCTTTATTTAATGCAACTTTTCTGCTTAGGCACCAAGCGCACCAACACCCACTGCTCCAGTTATCCCAGTTCAGCCACAAAACGAAGAAAAGACTCTTGTCTACGTATTGGTGAAGAAACCAGAAGAAGCTCCAGAAATCAATATTCCAACACCAGCCCCAACTCAGCCCAGCAAACCAGAAGTTTACTTCATCCGATACAAGACTCAGGTATGAGTTTAATATTGCAAATTCCTAACAGTTGCCTAATTTTCCAAAAGGCTTTCTTAAGGACCTTCGCTTTTATGTCAAAAGAGTTTCTCCATAGCCAAGCAACAGATGTTAGCGAAGTAAAAAGCTTTCTTATGCAAGAGCTGTTAGCAGTTTTTTTACTATAGATCAAAGTAGAAATAAGCCAAATAAAGCAGAGCGGCGATTTCTTATGTCACGATGCGTTTCATGATCCTTGAGTGTATCTTCTTAAATATATGTGGTAACTGAAAAGAAAGCGTCAAATGTCTTGCAAGTTGGTATGCATCATATAAGTAGTCTTCAGCAAATTAGTATTGTTTTACTTTCACTAGATGATTATCGCTAATACACACAAAGGACGGATAGGAAATTTAATAGGAACAGGAAGTATTGAAATTGTGTTTTCTCTTAGGTGTTCAGAGTAATGCATTGACTTGGCAGACAAATTTATATTCAATTTACTTTTGAGAAAACTTGGGTCGATTCAAATAAATTCTAAAGATTTAACGACTTGGAACTTTTATATCAATTCAGGTTACATGTAACTAATTTTTGTTTTTCAGACCTCATCTTCAGGAGGCGGCGGCGGTGGTGGTGGATTCGGAGGCGGTTTTGGAGGAGGCTCAGGAGGCGGTGGCGGATTCGGAGGAGGTGAGAATCTGAMCATCATACGATAAMGTCAGAAACTATTTTCAGCTGCAACTCATTGTCKATGAAGTCAAAAATTKTTTGTTTTTYSCCAAAATTTGCTGCTTATCGTCGATAAATCAATACAATTTGCGCCATTTATCTTTYAGGAATTGGTGGTGGAATTGGAGGAGGAATCGGCGGTGGAATTGGCGGTGGAATTGGCGGTGGAATTGGAGGTGGAATTGGCGGCGGCATCGGCGGTGGTCATGGTGGTGACATTGGAGGAGGTAATTATCTTCTGAACTTTTATAATAAATATTACAATTTTCAGTCAATACGTGTGTAAATTTTAAGCAGCGATTAAAAACACATTTAAAATAGAACCGTTTTAACGTTTAAAAATAACCTCATCATTTTCAACAAAATTACGTTTTTTTTTTTCACTTTCTTGATGTTTAGTTTTTTCCATTATTGTGAAAATATATTAATTTGCCAAGTTAAAATAATTCAATGATTTAATCTCAGAACAATACATCATTGAATGATTATGCGTAACCGTATGTAAAAATAAAATACTCATTTTTGGAAAACTTTCAGGAATCGGTGGTGGTAGCGGAGGAGGTGTTTCAACTAGTTACGGCGCACCTGGCAAGTCCGGTCCCTATTAAACAGCAGAAGTTACCTCGGTATCATTCGGCCAGTAAAAAATTAGCAGATATAATGGTCTCTCATACAGCATCACTCAGCAGTCAGTCGAAATGGCCCGTTCATCATTGTGTCTCTATACTTTTTCCTCACCGAATGAGCCACATCGTACATCGTCCATTATAGTGATTATATATGCTTGATATTCTTTCATTAGAAATTATGTCATAGTTTTCTTCTCTCCGCTCTTAGATAAATACTCGATTTCCATGTTGCCAAGACTAAAAAGTCGCCGTATGTAAATTTGTTTATGGAAATCGGGAGTTTTATTTGGGAGCGCAGCGATTTTGTAAATATTCGTGCAATATAATATTTTACGTTATATTTTTTGTATATTTTATATTTTTGTATATTATCTTTCGTGAAGAAAATACGGTGACAAATAAATATGTTTAATGATATTTTGTTTTTATTACAAGCTAAATTTAAAAGGCGCGCACTAACAACATGCGAATTGCAAATTGTTTATCTTTTGAAATCAGCCTGGAAGCCTGCAGCATGCCGATTATTGTCAACCTAGATAAGTGACTAATGCGTCGTTGACAAATTTATTTATTATTTTATTAAAACTAAATAAAATAGAAGTGGTTCGTGTCTAACCATTAAAACTGAAATTGTACCTACTTAACTTTCCATAACATTAGTGATTAGACCTTCAGTGCTGAAGACATTATTTTAGGAGTTTACTGGGAGATGGATTATGTGATCAATACGGCCAATTGGAAGAACATTTTTACAATGCTATACGGGTTGTTGCGCCTTATTTCTATAACAAATTTCAACAAAAATGTTTAAAAGCGGTTTGTAGTCAAAGCGGCACGTGAAGGCGACTTCATAGACTCTGAGCTGGTGTTTGGGGCGAGTATTGCCCCTTGTTAAACGTTATTAATTTTTATTGTCTGGTACACTTTCATTAATTGTATTAGATTTGATATTTCGGGTATTTTAGTAGTTCAAACGGTTAGCAGATGGTAGCTTGTGGTCGTCAAACCACGTGTTTCTTAATAGTTTTTGCGTAAGCTTAAATAATACATCAATCAGGTCTTAAGTAGGTATTTTGGCAGCATATCACCCCTGATCGTTCTAGCTTTGCTGCGAAAGCTGGTGGCGCTTCAAGAAATCCACCCTTCGGACTTCAAATGACCGTTCAAAATACCTGCTCATGGAAAACCTTCGCTTTCCTTCTTCTTGTTACTAAATTGAAATCTCTGTAAATCTCAAAACCATTATCATCATAAATCATTGGCATTATAAATCGTTGACTCAATTAAATAGTTTTCATTAAAGTTGACTTTTTTATTTTTCTCTGTGTGTGAAATTTGTCGTGTTGCAATAAAATACATGTCAACAATATCTAAAACCGATCTTCCATGGAAAATGTAAAGCCAAACTTATCGAAAGCTGCATAGTGTCACCTGGAAGCAAAAAAAGGTGTTTAGTATACAGAAAATAATTCTAAACTTCATTGAAATTGGAATGCAAAAAGCCATGAAATATCTAGTCGCTCTCAAAAAACCTCCGCCAGTTCAAGCTAAGTGTTATGAAAAATGCCTACCTTTTTTCGGGCACCCTTTATATTCGAGATCTATCTTATCAGGTTTCTGCATGCTGGGCCCCATCCTGAACCATTTCCGTGTCGGATGTGATTCACTTGCACCAAAAGTGCACTTTAGCTAAACCCATTCACCACTACTCTCACTTTTCAGCACCAAAATGTCAATATTTTGATATCCGATATATTCCCGATTAAATATGACCACGACTGGCAAGATACGCAAAGAAACTGGCAATTTATTTCGTTCCTCGCATGTATTACAACGAATATTTGCGAGTGCAAACCTCAAGTACAGTCCCTTTATTGTTTTACTCTTCTGAATGATTAACTTTTTTTTATTGAGAAAGTCTATGTCGCAGGTAAAAACCCGATAAATAGAAACAGGAAAATATAAACGACTCAGATCAGGCCCGCTATATACATTTTACGCTCAATGAATTTTTCATTTATCATCAACTTTTGGACAATCCTGAATCTTTCAGGTTTTTTTCGACTCATGTGTGGATCGTCGCTTTTAGGGGAGAGTGTTGTACTTTTGGACGTTTTTTAAATTGTTTTTCAGACCACTTTTTAAATACATTATTTTAACTAAAGCCATTATGCCATCTTCTATATTTAGAACGACATTCTCAAAAATTATACAGGGTGCCATCTAATCCATCGTAGCATCCTACAATTCTCCCGATATTTCACAAAACATAACTTTTTCAGAACTTTCACCATCAATAGCAGGGGACTCAAATACTTTTCCTTAATAAAAGTTTGGCCCGATCGTCTTCTTTTGAACAAGAACATTTCATTAGAAGTTTTCCAACTTAGAGTTGTTTTGGAAACTTTGTTTCCGGTCATAACGCGTGGGACCGCCATTTAAAGTACATTTTTACCTC